TTTTGTGTAACAACATGAATGAAATAGTCCCCGACAGTGATGACGAGACCTCGCAAGACCTATTCGACGATGAGAATGATGTCGATGAAGGGACTTCAAGTATGTCAGTCCAAGTAACCTCTCCAGGAAAACAAGACATAACAAACAAAAATATTATTCTTTAAAGACATCGTTAATGTTTTTTTTCGTTTATCATATTTTTTACGTTGGAAAAATCGAGAAATATTCTATTTCATGATAATTGATAGTTCAAAAGTTGATTAATAGAGAAACTTTATTGTTGAAGACGAGCTTGAGTGTCATCAGACAGTATTCGAGGGAAAATTCGTAACTGCTGAATTTCAATATTTCTTGTTCTTCTGTTCATTTAAATAATAAAGTATGAAAAAATGAGTCTGTTTTTTTGTTTGCTAATTGTCTAATTTCTATTGATAATTAGTTAATTTGTCTTTTTTCCATTTTTTTTCAATAAATTGCCTCTAAAAACCTAATGAATTTACGAACTTTTTGGTTTTATGATATTTCCTGAAATTTGTATTTTTTTTATGAAATAGCTTTGATGATTTGAAATTTGAAATTTTTAAATTTTTCATTTTTAAAAAAATAATTTTGTTCTTTTCTTCAGTGGGGGGGGCTCCGCACCCTCACTGTCGGCGGACATCGGCTCGCCTGCGGCGAACCTCGGCCCCTCCCCACCACGCCTCGTGCTGCAAACTTCACACTCATCACAAACCTCTGCTTACGGGCCTCGTGACGCAAATTACTATTTAGATAATAGTTGTGGAGACGCTAACGCTTCTCACAGCCCTCCCGAAAAAATCCCTCTAAATGAACCATAAACTCAAATATTTTATTGTCTCAACGTTTTTGTTTGTCTATTATTGTGTTGATCACAGTTTATCATTGTTGAAATAGTAATAAAATTACACTTAATATACTTTTCACAATTGATTTCCTATATTCCTCTGCCTCTATTTCACTGTGTCCGAGAATCGGGCACACGATATCCGGTAACCTGGCTAGGTCAGTTTTAGTCATCCGAGAACTCGACCATATGAGCTATGATGATTTTTTATGAATATTTATCGAATTCTTCGGAATTAAAGTTGAAATCGAATGTCGTTTTGTCAAGAAATGATCAAAGATGACCCATGAACCTTCAGAATTCATAATTACAAAAAAGAAAACACAAATTAAACGCTATTGTCTGGTAGAATATCCTTAACCGTGCGACAATTGGGACACTCACGGTATATTACTGTAAAGAACAGAATTTTCCCCCCAATAAAATCCTCCAAACAAAACATTACAATTCTCACGATCAACACCGATAAATTTATTAAGAAAAAGTATTGAGAAAGTAAAACTAATCCATTAATATTCGGAAAAGTCATTAAATTATTTCATAATGTTTCATAATTATTTTTTTAAAATGGAAATTGCACATAAATTCATCATGAATCTGACTGAAATTAGTCGAAATAATAATGGCACTCAAACTATCCCTAGCAAAGATCTAGCAAGAATTTTTTCAGCATAATTCATTGATTTCCCATTTTAATTTCCTTCGTTCAAAATATGCTGATATGGTGAGCTTCATGCTTTTAGGGATGTTCTACATATTGCTGGAGTCCATCGATGAATTTCTTGACTTTCAGGTCAAAAGGCGTTGCCTTCTGTTTTTTTGATGCTCTCTTGTGTCCAGTTTTGGGATTCATTCTGAGCAAACATCTGGAATGCAGAATTTCATATTTTATATTGTGAAATAAGCATTTTGGCAATAACGACAAGATGAATCAGGAATTTCCGAATGACTCAACAATTATGAATTATTATTTCTCTAAATATGATTCGTATCTACATATATTTCTTTGAAAAAATACCTCTGAATGAATTCCAAAGTACGGGAGAGTGTGTCTGGGTACAGAACTCTGAAAACGTAGTAAAGGGAGAACAGCAATAAAATTCCATCAAGAACTCCGTTCACTGGGATCAAGATTTTCTTGTCCAGTGCCACTGCGTGTGTTGCAGTCTCGTCATAAAGTAATCGCCCTGAGAATGAGAAACAGCATATTATTGCCTGGGATGTCATTATGGATCGCAAATCTGATTCACAACGACATTATGTTTTATGACAAGAACAGGAGTGAGTTTCGGAATGTTTTCCAGGAGTTGTTCATCTGTCAAGTTCTCCTGAAAAACGAATTTATAAATGAGTTAATACAGGCCAATTAATAAAGGACAATTATTCTATATGAAGCACTCTGGTCATACTCACTTCTTCAAATCGAAATAACTCATCTTCTTTTTCTTCAAAATGAAGAACGATGAGTCGAAATATGACTGATATCAATGGAATTTCGATTATATCCACAGAAGAAATTGCCATTCAAACTTGCATGTAATTTTCTGTGGCTTGAAAAGTCCCGGAATTTATTTGTCGAGTAATCGCAGAACCTGCACTGGAACATTATGATGCCTAAAGGAAACAAATATAGATTTCAATGTTTATTAATTCGGTGTACTAACAGTCCAATCTCTACATTAGATGAAGCTGCGATAGTTACATTCACGGACTCTGTACAGGGTGTCTCATTGTATTTCATACGTTATACACTACGCGGGAACCATATAAGAGTGTGATGACTAATTAAGGACTGTATATATCGCCGGTGAGTACAGGATATCAATACCTCAGAACAAATCAATTTTTTTTCTTCGGCTAAATGAATTTCTATGACTCCCGGCACCTATGATGTATTCGGACTGGGAATCACTACAAGATTACAACAAAAGCAGTCTTTTTTTCATGATGAAAAGATCCACTTGGGCTACAATATTGTCCCCCCTTTCCCCTCGACAGAGTAGTGGCGAAATAAAAGGCAAGTTCTCGGAATTCTACAGTCTCTGGTGTATCTCGCGTAGAGGTTGGACTGTACCTATGGTTTTTTTTTGTCTTCAACGGAAAAATAATTTTTAAGAAAAAATCGAATTCTAGCCTTCCAAATTGTCGATAATAGAACTGAAACCGTGGCAAAATTATGTTTGAAACAAAGCAAAATATTCGGAGAAAAAAAAATTATGTATGTTTTCAGGCTTTATTGTTTCTCGAGCTGAACAACATTCTCTTCTGGAAAAACCGAATGAACAAAGAAATGAAAAATCCTAAAATATGTCAAACTTGAGAAAAATTAAAGGGAATTGAAAGGAATCTACTTGCGGGATGTCTAAAAACTCTACTTCAGAACTCATTGTTATCTTTTTTACCCGAATGATGGAGGAAATTTTTATTTACCTGCGTTGTTCCGCTACAGCTTCCAGTATAATTCTCAGCTTCCCAATAATATCACGCACAAAAATCCATAATAAGTCACTATAATAATGAACTGTTCGCTGTGTAATCACGTATTAGAAGAAAAGATCGGCAGTTTCAGAAAATTGGGGTTTCAAAACCATTTTCGTTGAAATTTTCGAGATTGAAAGAAAAACGTTCTCTTAATGAATTTAAAGATCTTTTTCATTTATAAGAAAATTTTATCACCAAGTTTACGAGACGAATCTGTGAACTGTTCGGAGAAGACTAAAGTTTAAGATTTTCATGAGGTGGTATATGGGCCTTGCAATTCAGGGTTGGAAGGAATTTCTAAAATTGTATTGGTTGGAAAGTATTTTCCCCAGACTGCAATTGGCCAAGAAAAGGCATACGGAAAAGTCTATGNATGGTTGGAAAGGATTTTCCCCAGACTGCAATTGGTCAAGAAAAGGCATACGGAAAAGTCTATGTACAAAAAAAAAGGAAAGCGGACCGGAGGATGACGCGGTCTCGTTACGCGCACATGTGGTGACCACCAGGACTCTGTCTGGAGATGCCGTAACCAGGTAGCAAAAATGGGGAATTTTTCTCACGTGAAAACTATAAGAAAAAAGAGGTCTATTGTCCAAAATTTTATTTCTACGTGACTTACTTGAGAGCCTTGAGATTTTAACATTTCTCCCAACTATTTAGTATAACTTATGATTTCGTTTACGCCTAGCCAAAGTATTGTTTGAGATATCAAAAATGACTGAAATTCTATTATTTTTTGGTTAAAAATTAAATTTCAAAAGATATTGATAAGCAACAAAAATTATAAAATTAAAAGATAGTATCCTAAAATTTTCGAAAAAGTATAATAATTTTCCCGTTTGTACTTGAAATTTTGAGTTCTGAAGGAACGCTTAAATTATTGTTGTAAATTTGAAGGAAAAATTGTAATTTTAATACACGTGTGTCTTGCAAAAATATTGGAAAAGTACAATTTTCCCGGTAATTGTATTCGTAAATTCAAATACAAATAAATTCATACACGAGAATAATAATTTTACAATCCCCTGTAGTAATTTCACTATATATTCTAGTAAAATTCCACATATTGACTGCAATATTCATACAAAAATATAGTAAATACCGATTCTACCATCGAATTTGTAATTTTACCACACTTTGATGCAGCAAAAGTGTAGTAATTTTACAAACTTTTTTAACAGTGCATCCGGCCGCCATCACCGGCGTGTTCGGTTGCCACCGGCCGGCTCGACACAACGGGCTTAATTATAATTATCAGCTCTTTCATGACGCGGACTCATACTATGTTCAATGTCTCGGCCGTAAAACTGTGGACCTAGTCTTAAACAGCTGGCGCCATAAAACATCAAATAATGTTCAATGTCATGTGCCATGTCTCTCGAGTTCCAGTGTTTTCTTGTCAATAATTGACCATTTTCAGTGTATACATAAAGTTAAAGTGTTGAAAAATATATGAAAAACTAATTCATATAATAATAATCATGATAATTACTATTTTAAAATGATGAGAGTATTTTGTGGAACATAATCTGCAATTTCGACGATTTATATTGCAAGTAAAATAAAATGACGGAAAAATTTGCGTCGTGCCATTGTGTTCAGAGTTTTTTTTGGAGGAAAATACTCGGTGAAGGTAGTTGTGAATTGGCACAAGATGAATAAGAGAGATATCTTTTTTCTTGGTTATTTTGCTGGCGATCGAACCATTGCAACGATAGACGAGAAGGACATCCGCCACTCATCAGGCAAAAAAAAACCACTAAAGAAGGGTGACCATGTCCTGGTACAATGGGGAGGTGTTCAACATAATGCATAGATTATAACGTTCAGTCGTAAGTAAATGAACATTTTTTCTCTGTTTCCACAACCGCAGTACGCTTGGTAGATGCTAGCATTTGGAAAAGTTCAACTCATGCCCAATTCCGCAGTGTGGGTGGATGGAGGAGATCTGAAAGACTTATTGAAGGCATTCGGGCATGATTGGAAGGAGTTGCTGAGACGACTCTTGAAGTGGTTGATTGGTGAATCTGAGCTGGCAACAATGACCACTGCAGGAACAGGTGAAAAGCCTGGAATACCCCCTGTATTGTACCAAGCTGTCCAGGGTATGTGCGCAATTGTTTTCTGAAAATCCAAGGAAAATTTCATGGAGATAAATGGCTTAATTTATTCTTCAACAGGCTACGTACGACTCAACTGTGAAATTGCGCTATCAAAGAAGGAGAAGACAATTCCTTTCAATCGAGTCGTAAACCTCATGTGTGGAGCAATGGCAGAAAAATATGGATTGATGAAGGCAGAGTTCGATGGAGGGAGTGGCGACAATGACCGCAGTACAGAGACGGAGAATCCCAGAGGAAAACTCCCAATTTCGAAGAGAAAGGCGAAGAAGAGATCTGCCACCAAGAGTCCAGCCGTAGTCGTGAGCTCAGATGAGAGTCCTGGCATTGACTTCACCACGAACCCTGGGAAAACAAAGAAGTTGATCAAACTGCAAGAGCCAAGGCGTAATTCCACCGCAGTCAGGAGCTATTCTATTGTCCATAGCGGAGCAACGAAGGCCAACAAATTAAGAACAAGTGCTTCGCAGAAAATAAATAAACTGTATGAAGCCGATAGGTCAGAGCTTGAAGATATGAATAAGTGGCTGACCTCGATCATCCCCAGTGATGAATCTGGAGTATTGGACAGGAAGATAAAACGCTCGACATCTGGAATTTTCTCAGTTGAACCCGCTGGTTTCGAACAAGAGCTCGAGAAAGGGATGGCTACGTCTACTCCGAACAATTCTTCTGGAAAAAAGCCCCTAAATGTCAACTCCGATTATATATTAAAAAATCGATCTTCAGACTCTTCTATATTGGGCGAGACAAAAAGCCCAAGGCATTCGAAGAAAATTCCACAGATTCCTGCAATAAAAGACAAAGTGAACACGTCGAACAATTTCTTCAATTTCAATGAGCCAATTATTGGTGTACCTGGTCCAGTAGCTACTCCAGTAACTGATGAGAGACAAAATGGAAAAGAAAGAACAGAGCATCCAAGACTTGCTGATAATAACAATAAAGAGAATCATCAGTATGAGAGCTCTACTTTGGCTGCGGACCAACCTCAGCACACAGGAACTACTGGCCATCCTCAGGACGCAGGAGCTATTGGTCATCCTGAGCAGACAGGTGTCGCTGGCCAACCTCAGCACGCAGGAGCTTATCAGCACGCATGGAATTTCCCAACCAGGGGCGGCGGAACCATGGTTGAACGTGTTGAGTACTCAACACCTGAAATTTTTCAGGTGTTGAATTCAACACCTCAGAAAAATCGAGAGGGAAAAATAATTTTCATCGCAATTATCGACCGATGAGGTAAATAAAACGTTAATTTCTCTCGGTAACCGTCGTGAGTCTATTATCGACTGAGTCAGCGTATGCATGTGTATGAATGTGTATGCTTGCTCACGCTCGTGCAGTGGACAATTGTGTAGGTTGCACAGACCCACCGCCACAGCTGAGTTTCCGAGCACTTCCGAATCGTTATGTCAGTGTGTTCGTGACTACCTGATATGTTTGCCCCTTGAATAACATCTCCTAGGCCAAGATGAAAAGATTTCTCATACCATTAAACAAGGCAGTCGACGCAGAGCCTCAACAACGCAACCTTACCTACCCCTTACAGACGACTTAACCTATAAAGATTCAGACTCTTTTGACACACATCTAACCAGAAAAAAACAAAAATTGAATAACAGCAACAAATGTGAGAGTGATTCCGAAAATATCCCTACTCAAGATAAACAGTCAAGTAAGATTTCCTGCAAATCATTGAAAATCACGCCAGCCTTATTATTTTCTTAAATTTTATATTCTCTCGCTATTACTCTTTTTAGATCAAGATTTGCCCGTCTCAAAAAGTACATGGGAGCGGTGGAAATCTCAGTATCCTTGGATTTCTCTCAGTTCATCCAGGAAAGTCGTGTGCTTAATCTGTACTGAAGCTACAGAGAAGAATTTATTATTAGGAGATTCTTTAACGTGTAGAAGTGGAAGTATTTCACTAGAGGCATTTGTGACAAGTGGATTTAATTGCTGGACCAATGCCATAACTCGTTATCGTAATCACGAATCTAGTTCTTTGCATACTGAGGCAGTGAATGCAATTAATAATTTTAGGAAACGAACAAATATTGCTGAACAAATCAGTACGACAAAGCAGAGAGAAATGCTTGATTCTCGTACCGCCTTATCAGAGATTTTTCATACTATTTTAATGTTAGCCCAACAAGGTCTACCTCTTCGCGGTAACAACGACGAGCGTTCTAACCTCCTTCGAGTTTTACGATTGCTAGCTCGACGCGTACCTGAGTTACAGACGTGGTTAAATCGAGAGAAAGGGAAATGGCTGAGCCATGATATCGTTAATGAAATTTTGGAAATTATGGCTAATGAGGTATTGAGAAAAAACTTGGAGGTGATTATAAATGAGAAGTATTATGCTATAATGATTGATGAAACCTCAGACATTTCTAGAGTGGAACAAGTTTCAATTTGTCTTAGGGTAGTGCATACAGATCTATTTGTCGAAGAATTTTCGGGGGATTTTATTCGACAGAGGATACAAAATCGGAAACATTATTCAAGCTCGTCGAGAATGCATTACTCCGATATAATCTAAACTTTTCTAACATGCGTGGTCAGTGCTACGATGGGGCAGCCAATGTAAGCGGACACAAAACAGGTCCTCAAACACGTATCAAGGAAGTAGAACCGCGTGCTGTGTACGTTCATTGTGTAGCTCATACGCTCAATTTAGCTGTTCAAGATGCGACGGAACGCGTTCCATGCGTAAGAAATTTTCTAGGAAACATGAAAAATCTAATTGATTTTCTTCGAGATTCGCCTAAGCGGTTAGCTGCTTTCAAAAAATTGCAAACTTCAGATAATCCGAACTTAGCAGCATTCTGTCCAACACGGTAACATTTACAACTATCTAGAATGAAAAATTCTCTGTTTTGGCAATTTGATTCATGTCTCTTACGATTTATTTTTCTCTGGCAGTTGGTGTGTTCGCGTGAAGTCACTGAAAACAGTCCACGAAAATTACTCACTGATTATGGAATTTCTCGAAGGCTACAAAGACGATTGTCAAAATAAGGATGTCTTCGCCAAAGTGGAGAGACTTCTGCATCAAATGGAATCATTTGATTTCTTCTTTCTTTTAACTTTGTCGATTGACGTTTTTGAACAAATCGAAATTTTGAACGCAGAGCTGCAACGAGTTGATCTGTGTATAAAAGAGTCGAACAATAGAGTGCACGTCATGAAATAAATATTGTCTGCGTCTCGTGATTCCAAATTTTCCTCAATTTGGGAAAAATCCATGGACGGCATCACTTCCCTCGATATTGAGGAACCAAAGATCCCGCGCTTACGAAAAATCTCAAGGCGCTTGGACAGAGACAGTTTTAGTAAGGCACACGTCTTCAGCACCCCAGAAGAGTATTTTCGGAAAACTTACTGTGAAGTCTTTGATCAAGTTATGTCATCATCAAATACTCGATTTGAGTCAGAGACGATAAATTTCCTTAATAAATGTGAGGACTTTATTCTGGGTAAAGGCGAAGTGACTACCGAAGAGATCACGCAAGTGTACAATACAGGAAGCGCCGATTTCAATGCAGGATTACTGGAACGTCATCGTGACACTTTTCTCGATGTTTCTACTCGAAAAGAGGCGAAAATTGAGTCCTTGAAAGATATCGTCATGTTCCTGAAGAACAACCCTGCGCTCGCTGACATGATTCCAGAGTTCAAAAGACTGATCCAAATATTGTTGACGGTACCTGGCTCTACGTGTACAAATGAGCGCTCCTTTTCTACATTTGAGGCGTTTGAAGACATATTTACGTTCAACAATGTTGCAATCTCGATTGAATCATATTGCAACATTGCATATTTATGACGAGTTAGCTTCAACCCTAGATGTAAATGACTTGATGGATGAATTTATCTGTAGAAATAAGAGACGAAAGGAGACATTTGCAAGGGGGATGCCAAAGAAGCCTGTTAAACATTTATAAAACTGATGAACCTCTGAAAAATTTGAAGATTAATAAGATTATAAGAATAAAAACACGTTCACAAATACTTTCAGGCATTGATTTCCCCTCCCGCCACTCAATCCCTTCCCCCCTCCCCTCCAAATCTCTTACTTATACTCAACACCTCAGATTTTCACGTTCCGCCACCCCTGTTCCCAACATCAAATTATCATCAGTCAAATCATCCAGCACCCTATCAGGGTCAATATGATAATACATTCTATCCCAGTTATCCTCAATATCCCCCTGAATCCTATGGCTCCATCAATCAGCTACAGAAAACTGGAACAACTGATTCTGGCTTGTACAACCAAAATTATAATTATCATCCTCTTTAGAGAACTGCGAGGATTTATGAGTAGTTTAACCCTAATTTGGTCACCATGCGAGAACTTGCGACTTCGGTCACCTCCGCAGGGAATCGCCGCCGTGTTATTTAGGCCCGAGCGTTGCCGAATTCACTCTATACTGCCCGGGCGCGTTTAGCGAGACTTCGGCAACGTCGCACAACGGGCAATTTCATTTAACATGGGAAAAAATTGCCCGTCTGTTAGAAATAATTTTTTTTCTTCAGGAATTGTGGATATAAATAATTTTAAAAAATATTATAATTTTCTAGACACTTGAATTGACGCATTCCAATTTTTTAAGATTTTTGGGCTCAGCCAGTTAATGGTAAGAAAAAAAAATCGACCTTCCACGGCGTTTCCCTGACGGAACCTGTAGACTGCTAGTAGAGAGTGAGTTGACTCTCTATTTGTTCCTGGAGTGGAGAGAAAGTTGAGAGTTGGACTGACAGGGCCAATTCTCTACTCATGAGTACTTTTAGAGAGTAGATAGCTGAGGGGAGGACTATTCTGGGCTTCGTGAATTTAGACCCTTGAGTAATCTGACCCTCTAATCTTTAGAACTTTAGACCTCATGCCTCTTTGAACGCCCAGACCCGAAATTTTTTGTGAACGCTGAATGTTATGGCCCTAAAACCTTCCAACCCCTACAGATTCTGAATCATATATTGTGACCTTTATATTTTCAGACCCTTATTGATTCCAACCCTTAGATTTTGACCCTAAAAATTTCTGACCCTTAAAAAAGTCTGACTGTCAAATATTTGAACCTTATTATTTTTGACCCTTAAAATGAGGCCAACTGACGACTATCTACTTTTTCTAGAGAGTAGAGAGTTGGGATCGGATGCTTGGTGGGGGCTACTCTGCACTCTCTACAATTTGTGGAGAGTGGATAGTTGGGATTGCGGACTCGATATGTTGTGACCGTTAATGCTTCTGACCCTAAGATTTTGGATTTTGACCCTAAAAATTTCTGACCCTTAAAAAAGTCTGACTGTCAAATATTTGAACCATATTATTTAGTAGACAGTGCGTCTCATTTTAAGGGTTAAAAATAATATGGTTCAAATATTTGACAGTCAGACTGTTTTAAGGGTCAGAAATTTTTNAAAGGGTCAGAAATGTTTAGGGTCAAAATCTAAGGGTCAGAATCAATAAGGGTCTGAAAATATAAGGGTCACAATATATGAATCATAATCTGTAGGGGTTGGAAGGTTTTAGGGACATAACATTCAGCGTTCACAAAAAATTTCGGGTCTGGGGGTTCAAAGAAGCATGAGGTCTAAGGTTCTAAAGATTAGAGGATTAGATTACTCAAGGGTCTAAATCCACGAAGCNAATTTAGACCCTTGAGTAATCTGACCCTCTAATCTTTAGAACTTTAGACCTCATGCCTCTTTGAACGCCCAGACCCGAAATTTTTTGTGAACGCTGAATGTTATGGCCCTAAAACCTTCCAACCCCTACAGATTCTGAATCATATATTGTGACCTTTATATTTTCAGACCCTTATTGATTCCAACCCTTAGATTTTGACCCTAAAAATTTCTGACCCTTAAAAAAGTCTGACTGTCAAATATTTGAACCTTATTATTTTTGACCCTTAAAATGAGGCCAACTGACGACTATCTACTTTTTCTAGAGAGTAGAGAGTTGGGATCGGATGCTTGGTGGGGGCTACTCTGCACTCTC